TTGAGAACAGGAGGTCTGGTACTACATGCCTCTCCGCTATGTTTGATAAATGTTTGATGCCTTCGTATCGTACGATTTCTTGCATGCGATGTGACATATTTTCCCTGCTAAAGTAGCTCTGAAATGTTCTTATTACTTTTTTCGCTTACTGCTTAAGGTAAGATTGTCATGCAAAAGTCTTTCGGAGTTTCTTCTTTTGTGTTTTCATGTTTTATGTCATTCAAGATTGAGTATTTCGGTCTACCCCACAATCGCAGCCACAATCCACCAGAAGCTAAACAACAACGCCAATTGAATAAGGCTCTAATCTGATTTCTGTTCTTGTACTATCTGGCGACTGCATTTTTGCACTTGGCGACCATTTTTCCTCTGATAGTCGCCAAAAGGCGACTTGGAAGTTTTTTTTTAATTTCGAGCCCCGTCACAGTAAGAAGCACAGTACAATTATAAATGAATTCACAGCTAAGGAAAAACAATTTTGTCAACGCACCTTTCAGAACACCACAGAAAAATGGTCTTAAGTTTTCAAAGGTCTGTTGGCCAATGCTCTGAGCAAGTTCAAAGTCAAGGGAGGTGGCCTTGATTGTAGAATCTTCTTTTATCTTCCGCAAAGCCTCTGTAGCTTTTGGCATAGTTCGATGGAAGTGCGGCCTTGAGATAGAGTCCAACATGATAATATTTATATTAATAGCTTCTCTATTCTCATCATTTTTGTTTTTCTGGAAGATGGGAGGAAAACTCAAGGCCTGATAAATACTACCACACCTAAGGAACAAGAAAGTAAATCCTTTCTCCAGGTTTGTTTTTACAGCCTTGTGTACTTTATAAGTAAGGTTGTCCTTTGGTAATCTTTCCCAGACATCAACAGCTTTTCCCATTTGTGGATCGACAGAAGCCACTTGAATTTCTGAAGACCCACACACCTTTACATCACAAGAAACAATATCTTCCATCGACTTAGTTAACTGGTATGAACAGATCTCTGGGTGACGTGTATCATCGCACTTTGGTTCCTTCAACAGTCCTGGAGATCCATAAAATTTAAAAATTTGTTCCTGCCCAACTTTGTCTGGCCTACAAAAGAATTAATTGAGGTTATGTCGGCAGCCATTGTCTTTAAATAAATTAACAACTAATACCTTTCTTAGCCTACGAGCAGTCCCTCCAATCAATAACAACAAAATGCGAAGATGTACCATCGGTTATGAACTTAGAGATTGTCAGCCTGTAAAGATGCAATAATCAATACTCTTCAGTTAAATTTTTGGGGGGGGGTGGGAGTGGGTGCTTGTTTGGTGTGCGTGCTCATCAAATCATAGTCATTAGCTATTCACGTCTATATGTTAACAAGTGATCAACAAAATAAACAGTTAACCTTACTATCAACAAAATCTGGTAAAAACATTTAAAATTTCGTTTGTTTGCTCTTTGGGTAGATAAAGCAGTTAAGTTTAATTCACCAGAAAAAAATCCTAAAATCCTAGAAAGAAAGCGAAATACGGCTTAAATGACGTTTTGACGTTTTCTGAGAGTTTGACGGATGGTCGTGGGTCGTAGGTACAAATCGTAGGTCGTGGGTGTGGGCAAAAGTCAGCTCGCCAGGGGGTTCGATGTTTACGTTTTTGGGTGGGAGGCATGATGGCAATGACATGTGCTTAAATGAGGTGTGAAAACTGTGATTTTCTTGGAGGCCAAACACCTAACGTTTGTTTAATTACCTTACAAACCACTACTAAAACACATTAATAGGGGTTTGTAGATTTGTTGGATTTTCATGAAAATTGGCCATTAGTTCCTCAGATATTAACGCATCAAAGTATGCGAGGCTTTTACACTTTTTTCGAGCTCATTTTCACGAACAGCTTCAAATTCGAAAATCCAAAAATTCATTTCGCAAAGTAGTAATTTAGGAAGAGAAACTATTTTGCGAATTCGACTACTAAAAACCGAAAACCATGAAAAGGTTTGTTAACTTTAGAATCTACCTGTTATAAGCTTTACAGTGATATGTAGTTTTCTATGTATTCTTTTAAAGTTGCGCGCGTAAGACGATTTTTCCGGAAGGTACCCTATTTTACCTACAGTAACCTTAGATATTAATTTGATCATTTAAATCTCTACTACTGCGAGACCGTGAAAACTAGAAATATTTCTGGATGGTTACTGTGTTTAGGGAATAAGCTAATGGAGTGTGAGATATAGCAACTGTATGCAGCAATGCTGATGAGTGATTTAGTGCTTTGCTTGCAGATCGTCATCTCCTATCTGAAGCATTCATTTTTTCTAAGCTAACAAGTAACCATTTACATGTATCCTTACTTGTGAGGCTTGCATTTTGTTAAAATAATAGGGGTATCATTTACAAATGTATTTCCAGACTGTGGACTTGTATTTCCTGAAGTAGAAATCAGAGAGACAAATAGTACTGACTGAGAATGATTTTGGAAGGTAACATTACTTACTTTGTTAACAACCATTCTTGTCTAACTGGTAAATAAATGTGATTTTATAAAAATTTACACAAAAATAGGATTTTTCTCTTTTTCTAATCATTTTTCTCTCAACACTCCTTAATACAAACTTCTAACAACTCCAATATTTTATCTTGAAGTTTCCCATCTTTAGGAGTCATATATGTATTAATAATGAAAATAATAATTTATTAACCAGAAGATGGGTATACTTTTTGAAAAAATAATATTTCATGTAACTGTTTTCTTCCTTTCTCCATCTTTTTTTTAGACCAAGATACCAAAGGGTGAGCTTTTGTTGCTGTTTTTTAGACCACATTCTTTTCGTTACATTAAGACATCATTAGAAAGACACCCATTT